GGGGGGGACATCTTGAAACGGCAGAATGACACACGGGGTAGGAACATATAGCAAGTAGTCTATTTTGGAACATATAGCAAGTAGTCTATTATAGAAAGTAGTCTATTTTGTAAATTTTGACATAAATAAATGTGGGACAATTTTTTGAACTTCTGGAAGATGAATGAATTTTAACAGTTTTTTCATTAACTCTTGATGCAAGACATACTGTGATAATAGCAATTATGAAGTGGTGAGAAAACTATTAAAAATGACTGATTATTAGTTAAAAATCGAAAATTCATAAACAACCAAATGAGAGGGAACTCGCTTGTTCTCGAGAACCCTCTTTCATTACTTTAGGAACACTCTACTTCACTGTATCAGATGATTTGGCAACATCAGAGATTCTTGGTAATCGCATGACTGTCCACGTGCTGCTGCAAATTTTTTATAAAAAGAGTTTGACAAAAAATACCGGGAAAAGTTTCAAGTGCAACATACGCGGAAGTGTTTTTTTTGCTGCTTAAATCCTTCGCAGTTCTGACTATCAGTGGTCCATCGGAATCCTTTCCAACCGCAACTTGGGTTCGATCGATTACTCGCCGATTATCGACCACGATCAAAACGAAGTGAATGAGAAGATATCCGACAAAGAGCGCCGCACCTCGTCCTGCCCATTTCGAAAGCATTGAGCGTCACCGCGACATTGTCGAACTGGAACTAGTTTCTCCATGATTACTGCATATGCCAATGTCGCTAGTGCCATAACGCCACACAGACAACTAGAAGCTCGATATTTTTGCGTTTTTTTTACAGAAACAGATTAACGAACGTCTTTAGATGAATTTTCAGTTTGAACAATTTTCGCCCTGCGGAAGAAAGTTATCCGTTCGCAAAAGTAGGAGCTTTCATATGCAGTTAAAACAAGGTCGCAGCATTAAAGTTCTCTTGTCACCTTCCTTTACGTCCGCTAATAATCTCGGTTAGCGGTTCAAACTCTTTTGTAGTATAATATTGAAACGAAGAACAAACTAAGATTCAGAGAATTAATTTAAAGCTCGGTGAAAGAAATCACGAGTCAAACTTCCATCACATTTCGCTTTCACTGAGCAACGGAGGCAATTGAGAAGCAGCCCGAGCGGTAGCGAATGCCAGCAGCAATCACTCGCTGGCAAGACTGTCGATGGCCGTCCTTTCTGAGGGTTGTTTATAAGCAAGCTGATGACGATACTGACTCCCCGACATATTTACCGACGAAACGAATCGTAAAAAGAACTAGTTTTCCCACCGGAGAGTCATACCTCCACCTACTCACGAAAAAAAGAAGCTTTATTGAATCAGGCGTGATGAAATCACCAACAGCCAATTCGATTCAAAAATCGAACACTGCAACATCTTGGCTGAAGTGAAGGTGAGCAGGCAGTAAGTCAAAAAGATAAGCTCACTTTTTTTAAGCTCAAAAATAAATAGAGTAAAACAGTCTAGACTGTGCTACGCGCAAAGAGCCGCAGCGCTCCTTGCTCTCATTTTCAGGTCTTTCATGAGATGAGCAGCGTGCATTCTATTACTTCACTATTACATATATTTGTAGGCAGAAAAAATCAGACTAGCACTTTTCCATTTTTATTAAAAACTACTTTGCAACTGTTTTTTTCATCGGCGAGGTTTTCGTTATTGATGCAACTGGAACATTTCCATTTTCAAAGAGCCCTCTCTCATTTATGTGAATACGCTATCAAATGGATTATTTCCGCTGCACTGGTGGCTGTTCTTGTGTTATTTTAACATTCCGCCGATATGACTCAGTACCTGGCTTTGTCCATCTTTTATCCCTTATACTTATCACCTGACTAATTTGGCC